TAGAAAGTGCGATCATATTACTTTGCTTTCAGCGCTCTGGTTGGCTAAATATTTTCAAACGTTTCACAGTTCATTTATGTTGCTTGCTTTATAATGTTCTTCGCACCAATACTCTTAGATATCTTCGTGAGCTAATCCGTTTTAACATTGACTCATTCAGATGCTCTGCCTGATACTCGTTAGCAATACCAATTCTCATGTCCTACTCATCACAAATCTAAATTTCAGAGCACCTTCTCTTACATGGCAGTGAAATTTTATAATAATATACCATCTGCTTTACGCTCTCTACGGCTTCCTGTATTTCTGAAATTACTCGACATATTACGTCAAAATTTTAATATCAGATCAACTGTTTTGTACAATTCTTCTTGTTGTTCTCTATGAGTAGTGTATGTTATAACTTTTATTTCTTTCTACCTCAGTATTCTACAGTAATTTGCGTATTTATATAATTGTAATATTAGTTTTGAATTTTTTTTTATAATTCACTTATTCTAATATACAAGTACGGCTTTAAATCAGCTGCTCAGCTGTCGCCCAGCCTATTGTAGTGTAACTGATACGTGATACCAAATAATACTATATTCTATCTAATGTATTTTGTTAACAGTGCACTCAATAAAGTTAATAATAATAATAATAATAATAATAATAATGTTTGATATACATGATACATATACACTGGGCAACAAAAAAATTAACGCAATACCTGTTTCACTCTGCAAAAATAGGCAAATTTCAAGATATAATAACTTCGTCAAAAATTGTCGTATCGGGATGTTTAAAAAAGCATTTTACAGGTACAAATCTCTACTTTTCGGATCGCTACTTAAAAAACGGTCTCATGGAAATTTTATGAAGTTACACAAACATAAATGAAGATATATCAGACCTCAAAATTTTTTATGAAATTTGGGAGTTCCACGGAGTGGAATAAAAATTGTATACAAATGCGATTTATATCATTCGAAAGAGCGAATCTTTACCTTTAATTTGCTTTTTTACGAAACTCAATATATACACTGGGCGTGCAGCATGCTTTGCTTTTTTACGAAGCTCCGTACGATTTTTTTTCATCGAGTTATTCAACGTTGAAGCAAAAGGACCATTTTTGCTTCAACGTTGAATAACTCGATGAAAAAAAATTGTACGGAGCTTCGTAAAAAAGCAAAGCATGCTGTACGCCCAGTGTATATATTGAGCAATACTCACATTGTTTTATTTCATTAGTGAAATCTTTGAAGCTTTTAGTGGATCCTTTTTTTGAATGTATTATGAAGGTAGGCATATTGACAGCTTTTTTTACATATGGGATTTTTAGAAAACCAGTTTGTATCAGAGAGACAGTGTTTGTTGCTAACCAATATATCAAAATTGCCTACAAATATAGATAAATGCAATGAAGAAAATTCAGAGAAAGAGTACATCAAATATGAAAGTTATTGTTTGCGTTTAAATTAAATATTTCATGATATACAAATGTCTTCACGTTAATTCTTCTCAATTAATCATAACAGAAATATCGATATTATTATACTTACACCAGGGAAATGCATCATAAATGGTAATGCAACAAATGGCAAAACTCGAATAACATGTCGCATTGCACCCATCGCATGGATATTAGTGCCATCCGTACCGAGTTCGATTGTGATAAACATTGTTACACTAGTTAGTATCGGCATTATATAATAAGGATCATATACTGTAAGATCCTTTAGCCACAAAAAGCCACCGTCTTTTAAGCTCTCCACAGGCAAGTTTGCCATTTGTTTTAATCCAAAGAAGAAAGAGATGAATATTGGTGCCTAAAATATTAGAATTATAATTAGGAAATGATCTTTTTTTACACTTTTTGCGTATATGAATGCGTAGAAGTATTGCATACCTGTACTAATGGCATCATAATGTTCTGAAAAAAACTAATATTGTTCGTTTTTATGTAGTTCATCATGTTTGTCGTTATTTGTGCACCTATTCGGAAGAGAGCAATTATAGTGTACTTTCTTTATAGTGAGATCGGCAAATATACAGTTTTTTTATCAAAACAAAATTTTGTCAATACAAAATATTTCTAACATAACGTACTTTCTATATAATCGCCACGATTCCTGGCTACTGTCGATCTCATATAGAAGTCTTGTATCATTGGCATATGATTTGAAAGTCGAATCATATTTTTTTGCGCTTTTATCCATAAGGGAAATAGAAGAGTTCTTGCACACATAGTAGCTGTAACAAAACAATTAGATTTGTGCTAATAATTTTAGAATTTTTATTAAATCAATAATCATCTTGTGATAAAAAAACAGTACTTATAACAATTGCCAACCACCATGGCACATCTAAATTTATGTGCATAAATTCTAAGAAATTTTGTACAATCCCTGGAGGAGTCCATCTACCCAATCCTAGACTCTCAAATGTTGGCTCTCCATTCGGATGTACTTTCACAATATTTTCTATTATTTCTTGTATTGGTGTTGGTGGATCTATATACATAAACTGCAGATTAATAAATAAAATAATTTCTATAATTTTTATTTCTTATATTGTAATTACATACAAGAAAATTTTAAGGATAAGAGAAAGTATGTTTATTTATATATTGTATAATAATTTATTGTTAACAATATATGTAAATTAACACGCACACACACACACACACACACGCGCGCGCGCGCGCGCGCGCGTAAATTAACATACATAAGTAGATATTTTTAGAATTTTTTCTCATATTTATCATAGTAGTATACTTATAAAAAGGACTAAGAAATATTAATTTTCGAAGATGCTTCTATACAAACCTGGTATTTCATCGTATGGATTATTTTGCGGTGGTGTTTCATTTATTATAGTTTCAATTGCTGGAGTTTCATTTGTTATAGTTTCACTTGCTAGAGTTTCACTTTCTATGGTTTCATTTGTACTAGCATAACGAACTAAAGAGATTCCTGTAATTCTATAGTTTCTATGCAGATCCAATAAAGAATTATTTCTAGGAATCTTTTTTTCCTGAGTGACTAAATGGATATGTCTACATGTAACAATTTCCTAAAAAAAAAATTTTCTTTGAACAAGTTTGTTTAGAAGATAATACACATTCTATAGTATTATCTTCTAAACAAAGTATACAGATTATTATAAGATATAATGTGCATTAGTATATAGCACATGTAGGAAATAGAAATAATACATTATTTATAACACTGTTATTGTCACAAGTTACTTTTTTTGATAATAAATTAGTAATGGTATTGCCTTTTTTTTAAATAACTATAATAATAACACAGTTCTTTTAGTAACAAATTTTACAGGTACTTTAATCGTTACATTTTATATTTTATACTTATTTGACATAATTTTTTTTTGTATATTCAATTTTCAATCTTTGGACAATATTCATAATTTATTCTTACTTTAAGACTGTTTTAAGTAATATCTAAAGATACTAATACAGCTCTGATTGGTTTATAATATGTCGTAAGAATCATGTTATAAACCAATCATAGAACTGTATTAAAGACAAACTTTATAAATAGCAATCTTTAAATTTGACAGAAGTGATGCTATGTATTACAAAATTTATGCAAAGTATCCTCAGTTGGATCATGTTCCAAGATTAGAAATTTCATATGTATATGTATAATTTCATTCTAAAATATACAAAACTCTAGTTCAAATTAAAAAAACATTTTTCTTCTTTGTGTTTATACATATCAGTCTAGTATCGTTTATTGCTTTCATTAATATTTAAACAAAAAATATTACATAATTTGTTAAACTGATCTTATTTCAGCATTAAACAATAACACAAAAAGTAACATTACTTTTTAAATAGATAACAATACAGTAAAAGAATTCTTTTTTAGAATCAATAACAACAATTATTTACCGTTATTACTCTTAAAAAATAACTTTCCATTCCTTGAATATATATACATTTATATAGAATACAGAAAATGAAGAAACAGAAGCAAAAGTAATATATAAATTCTATATATCGATGTACATAATAAATTAAATGTATTTAATACGGAATTATTAATATGTATGCACATATTTTTTTCAGCATGTGTCCATCAGATACTTAGTTATTGACTCAATTTCTTTTCATTAAAATACAAACTTATTTTATAATTTTTGCCAAAGGTAATAACTTCCTAACCTAATCTCTACAAAGTTGCAAAAAAATTTTACCTGCGAAATCATGTTTAATTTTAGCAATGCTTGCCGGCGAACGATTATGGATGCTCGCATCAACATTTCTGCGCCTTTCAATTGAATTATCATTGTGATTCTTGGTGAATTTATAAAGTATGTAAGTTGTTTTTCACATATAAGAAAAACAATTCAGACGTAACCATGTTCTGTGCGGACCAGTGATGATATACCATGGTATATGTAAACGTATGATGGAAATGGTAAAAATGGTCGCATTCAGCAGATTTAACTAACGCTCGCTGCTATTGGATGATCTAGAAGAATATACCAATAGCAGTGACCGCTCACGGACCCGCGGATAATTGAAGAACGATGACATTATCGACAATTAATAACAATATGCGATTATTAATAGCGATTCGGTTGGGAACACCAATGTAAAACTGATGCATATCAAGATCGTTATACACTATTGATTTCTACCACTGCGTAGTGTTTCGTCAGGCGAACACGAAATGTGAACCTCATTAAGGGTCCTCTATGATATTACCAATGAGTACACACACACGTTTTTTTTCACGTTCTCTAAATTATATGCATCTCTTGAATTGTTGATTTATATCAATTTATATTTTTTTTCCTTAGAGCTGTATATATATTGTTGCATCTAACACTTAAGCTAAGATTTAGCTTGCTGGCACAGCTAGATAGAATATATTAATTCTATATAAATAAATAGAATATATTAATATATAAAGAACTGGAAAGGATACGGGCAATATAGGAGTCAAGCGCAGAAGACGTCGCGCAAATAATATATCTATGAAGTATGAAGACTGAAACATAATGCAGTACCTAATGTAAATATATGTAATATATAGACAGTTAATACTAAGATGAATGATGCAAATATGACTGAGCAACATTCACGATCTGTAACAAGTGCAACTGACAATGAGCTGCGTCTATATAAGTACAATTGAACTACTTTTACTATTGTTATAAATTAATAAAAAAGAAATATAATTTAAACTAATAAAATTATTATTTTTAGATTTATAACTTCATAGTTACTTCTTCAAGCAAGAAGTTTAATTGAAAAAAAAAACAGACTTGCAGACACAATAGAAGGAATAAGGAATTAGAAATAACGACTTCTACAAAAATCGGATATACTGGTATATATAGATAGGTTGAAATCATTATTCTTAACTCCTTATTCTTTCTATTGTGTCTACATCCTTATTCTCTATTAGAAGTTAGCCATATTGAATATTAGTTAATTTATGTATATTCACCTAGGTGGCGTTCAAAATTATTTCAAAGTAAAGTATAGGAGTTGGTTATCTATTTTCTTATATAATCTGTGGTTAAGCACATGTGAGATGTATAGCAATCTTTTTCTTCCACATCTCTATCGTATATAGTAAATATATTTATAGCACTACGGCGATAACAATAATATATGAAACAAGACAAAATTATATTTACAATTTGATAAAATAAACTTTATAATACAATGTTAAATAAAAAACGATGAAATTCTATATATTGGATTATTTTAACCTAAATTAAAAAAAAAATGATATTAATTAGAAATTGTATGCTGAATGAATTATAAATATTTGCATATGAAATGTAATATATGTAATTTTAAAGAATTTTAATTCTTTGAAAATATTTACTATTTTATAGTAGCAACTGCTCTGTGGTGCAAATACTTAATTCGTTTAGCATGCAAGCGTGTGCGCGAATTTGTGTGTGTGTGTGTGTGTGTGTGTGTGTGTGTGTGTGTGTGTGTGTGTGTGTGTATGTATACATACATACTAAAGAAATCATTATAACGCAGATATTGTCGCGAATACTAGAGATATAGTGAAAACATATTCATACATCTCAGAATAACTACGGTATA